TTGTATTTATTGCATCTCATCCTTCAGCTATTTCAACAAAGAACTTTAGCCATTTCTTCTCATCCTTCAGCTGTTTCAGCAATTGATTGCAGGCATTGTCAGGGCGATCCTTCAGCATATCAGCATCCACATGTATTTTTGACAGGAAATGCATTTTTCTAGTTATATTTTAATTTTTGTCAGCCAGTGTACATTACAATAGAAGGTAACCCCAGCCTGGTAATTTGCCGTCTTCTTTTCCTCATTTTGGTGTGCCAAGTAGCAATTTTCTCAATACTTCCCCTTGTAGCCGGGGGAAGAGGAGGGGGCAAATTCCCACTTCGATGGTGACACTGTCCAATACATGGATGGTCTGATCTATTTAGCAAATTGCAGAATAAGGAGAAAAGGACACCAAAATCCACTAGGACAAGCCACAGAAAGGTGAGATTTGTACTTTGTTAGAAGTGTTTTCAAACACCATGATCTGCTGCAACAATGTGGCTGGTTTTACAAAGCTTAATAATATGTGAGTTCAGTTTGTTTACCCATTGCCATTAGTGCAACACACAGCTGTTTAACAAAGGTTTCTGTGACATGTATCCATCCGAACAGGACTAGGAAGCTAACAAAAATGTGCAGGTGAAACATTTAAGTAAGTTATTATAAACAAGAGGAATCATGCACAGTGCAAGCTGGCACACATCAAACGCACAGTAACGACATGCGCTGTGGTTAACTGACGGGAGAAGCTTACACTTGTTGGTAAACTAGGCTATAACTGTGTCTCAGAAGAAAAAACGTGCCTATAATAGCACTGTTTTAACAGAAATACAGATATGCTACCTGTCTCGTTATTCTGACAAATCCATATGGCAACCTGACATTATATATTGTCTGTTTAAATAGGTTGTAATTTAATTATTGTGTCATATGCAGCTGACTTTTATTAGATTTTAAATGCTCCGAAATATACTCCTGTCATTCGTTTACATTTAAAAACCAATGTTAATATGTTTGAAATTGTCAATGAAATTCCTTGTGTGTGTGTGTGTGTGTGTGTGTATATATATATATATATATAGATAGATAGATGTGTGTGTGTGTATGTATAAAAACTGTGGTATAGTCGCACTGAAGAGCCAACTGACTGCTTTGGAAAACTTCCCTGTCAGTTAATTTTTTTTTTATTTTTATAAAAACATGCACATTTACTGTTCTCTTTTTATAAATTTTCACTAACTCACAACAAACCAGTGAAACTACTAGGGATGGGCATTTCAAGCTATTATGCTGCTCACTATTCACTGGGATCTGTTTGACAATTATTCAGAGATATTCGTAATGTAACAACTTTTTCAATATTAGAAAATCATTCCCCATTCCTAGAACCTACTCACCCATTTATACATGCTTTTTCTTGCACCCAGTTTTGCTTTGTCACCCTTCACCTTAATTGGAGCTTAGTACTTCCTAGTATGAAAGCATTAATTCTTGATTCATCATCAGTTTCCTTACTCTCCTGCTTTATTGATGGTAGTCTTCCAAACACCGTGAGAAGATGAATGGAGTGATGCTGGTGGATTTTATTTCCCTCGGGAGAGAGCAGTATAGAATTTGTGCCCTTATTCAGTCACAAGCCTAATCCAGTTCTACATGATGAGACATGTTCTTGACGAGGGGGTCAGGAGGAAAGATGAATTAAGAAGGCAAGTTACAAAGCTCCTGTACAATTAAACAACTTATTTTGCCCTCTCGATGAACTCTTTCAAACTAATTTGCATCAGCGAAACACCTCAGTGCAGCAACTTTAAAATAGGTGTGTGATGTGCACTTTCATTTTGAAATGATAGGCCCAGTTATTAAGCAACATAGGAGCTGTTCTTTGGTAAAAATTGCTCCCTGATTTTCCTCCCCTCTGAAAGCAGATATGAGATAAAAGCTGCTGTGCTTTCCCAGGCACATCATCACTCTCATCTCTAATGTGCCACAGAGAATTACCTTTATCAATCAGTCAGTAATTTCAAACTGAGCCTTTTTTTTTTGTCTGTTTGCAAAGGACCTAAGTGTTGCTGTGGGTTTGTCTGTACTTGCAGGCAGCAATTACAGTGAGAAGTGTGATGTGTTCAGCTGGGGAATCATTCTCTGGGAGGTGATCACTCGCAGGAAACCCTTTGATGAAATTGGAGGACCAGCTTTTCGCATTATGTGGGCTGTGCACAATGGTGAGTCACCAACTGTTCCAGGGGAGGGAAATGCAACAGCAGGCCTAGCTATTGGCCCAGCTAGGCCTGCTGGGAGACTGAAAGCAAAGCACTTGGCAGAAAAGAGCGGCTAAAAGACATGTTCACCTGTGCCACAGTCCCTGCAGTTTTTTTATACAAAGATGGATGGGAGAGAATATTAATTGGACACTAATAATACCTGGGGACAAGTTTAATCTTTTTCACAGCTGAATCTGCCTGCCTGAGTCATTACTGGCTCGAGCAGCAGGAGACAGTGGATTTAGCATAAATTTGTAATATTTTGTTGCTTATCTTGTGGCACTAAAAATTATTTGTTCCTTTGGCTGTGTGTGAGCAATTGGTGTGCTTCCTTTCTATATTCAGGTACAAGACCTCCTTTAATTAAAAATTTGCCCAAACCCATTGAGAGTTTGATGACTCGCTGTTGGTCTAAAGACCCCTCTCAGCGGCCTTCCATGGAGGAGATAGTGAAGATCATGACTCATCTAATGAGGGTAATCTCTCCCCACACACTGCTTACCATCTCTATTAAACTGGGTGAACTGAGAAGGTAAATCACAGGGAGCAGCATAAAATCAGAGTATAGGAAAAAAATGGAAGAATTCGTCAGAATCAACCAGCTTTATTTGTCACGTATGTTGACCATACAAGGAATTTGACTTTGGTACAGGTAAAACCTTAATGCTGCGTGCAGCACACATTAATATATGAAACATTAACCATTTTAATAGTTGGTTAATTGTAGTTTTTATTCTGTTTGGTGTAATGTTCTCCGTGATTTACTACACACAAATCTAGAATGTTACTTATTCATGGGAGAATTGTGAGTGAAAATCAATGCAATGACTGATTGTCAAGAGTTTATTAGTAGAACTTGCTACTGCATTGTCTCCCTCTTCGCCTGGAGCCTTCAGTGGCTGTGTGCACTTTGACCTTTTATAAAAGTATCAGTCAACTAGCACATTTAGCATTATCATCCACATGATCGGCCTTCTTTTTTTTTTTCTTCAACTTCTTGTCCACCCACTCCTTTCTACCATTCAGCCTCTCCTGTTCAAAACTTCCGTTGATGCCCATGATTGCTATGAAATGGGTGCTGAAATAACTTGTAAAGCTGGGTTGCATAGGCCCAACCACCTTTACTGGTTTGGAAGGGTGCACTCCTTCAGGTGGTAGCATCTGTTTGATACAGTATATTGTTATCCACAGGTTGCTGTGTCTGTCATTACCTGCACACATCCAATTTTAAAATCCCCTGCTCACACTACACCCACAAAACTCAGTATGGTAACTGACATGCACTTATCTGTAAATTAGGTTTGGACCTGACCCCACCACTTAATGTAAGCCCCTCATAACTCATACTTGTAACATTAAACAAACATATAGGCTACACAGTCAGTCCCTTGAATACTATTCTAGATTATATTTAAACAGAACTTGTATGATGGCTGGTCTGAGGTCCAATTGCAAAGTACTCCTTCCCACTTTTAGGTGTAATGGAACATGACACAAAGATAACCAGTTTTGGTGTAGTTTTATCCAAAGTGACTGGCCCTTGCTGTCAGTCAGCTGCATTCTCAATTCTGGAATGATGATGAACAGGGGTGAAAGACTGTGCCATATGTACATTCACAAAAAAGTAAAAATTTCCCTTTGTTTTTGTTTTCTACTTTCATTCACTGATTAGATTAGATTAGATTCAACTTTAGTCATTACACATGTACAAGTACAAGGCAACGAAATACATCACAGCCATCACAGCAGCCAAGAGGCAGTACAGAGAGAAGCTGAATGGCTTCTATTCTACTGCTGACTCTGGATGGATGTGGCAAGGCCTGCAGCACATCACAGACTACAGGACCACCACCAGCATCATCAGCTCCACAGACAGCCTGCCAGATGACCTCAACACCTTCTACACCCGCTTTGAGACCTCTAGCCACAGCACAGAGAGGAGGCACACACACACCGAGACCACCCAGCCCCCCAAGTGCCCTCCACTAACTGTCTCACCAGGCCAGGTACACACAGTCCTGAGGAAGATCAACCCCCGCAAAGCGGCAGGACGTTTTGAGAGAGTGGTGCTGGCCCGCATTCAGAGCAGTATACCGGGCACCCTGGACCCCCTGCAGTATGCCTACCGGCCCAACAGGATTGGCAATAGGACTTCAGCCAGCATTGTTACAAACACTGGCACCCCACAGGGATGTGCCCTCAGTCCCATCCTCTACACCCTGTTCACCCACGACTGTGTCGCCTCCCACAAAGACAACATCATCCTAAAGTTCGCAGACAACATGGCAGTGATATGTCGCATCACTGACGGGGACAAGGCAGTCTACAGGAGGGAGGTGGCAGGTCTGGTGTCATGGTGCAAGGACAATAATCTCAGCCTTAACACGGACAAGACGAAGGAGATGATAGTGGACATGAGGAAGGAGAGGAGATCTCATCAGCCATTGTTCATTCTGGGGCTTGAAGTGGAGAGCGTGAGCAGCTTCAAATACCTGGGCGTCCACATCAGTGAGGACCTCACTTGGACACTCAACACCACACAGCTGGTCAAGCAGGCCAACGATGGCTGTACTTCCGGAGGACGTTTGGCATGTCGCCTTTGCAACTTCTACAGCTGCATCATTGAGAGCATCTTGACCAGCTGCATCACTGTTTGGTATGGCAACACTACTGCTATGGACCACAAGCACCTGCAAAGAGTGGTAAAGACTGAGGAGAAGATCACCAGGACTCCACTGCCTTTTCTGCAGAGCATTTACCACCACAAGGTGCGTAGGAAAGCTGCCTCCATCCTCAAAGACCCCACCCACCCCCAGCATGGACTGTTCACTTCACTACCCTCTGGCCAGAGGCTCAAAAGTGTGAAATGCAGGACCTCTAGACTGAAAAACCTTTTCTTTCCCTCTGCCATCAGACTCCTAAACAGCTGACAGGAGTTTATTACCAGGAAATACGTCATGTACTGACGACCTGTACTGTTTACATTCTCAGTTTGCACATCCATAATTGCACATTGACTGTTGACTGCTGCGCATGCTGCTGCCATGTAGCATACATTCTCTTATTATATTCTTGTATATTTTTATTATATCTCTGTATTTGCTGCTTAAAGTGCCTTAGATTTTGTGTTACTTATTTATCTACTTTATATTTCATTTGTATTTTGTGGCATTCATGTGGACGGCAAAGTAAGAATTTTATTGTACAGGGAAACATGTTTCCTAACTGTGCATATGACAAAATAAACACTTGGAACTTTGAAGTGTGGCATTCCCAGCACTGCACTTTAGCATCTAGCCAGAAGTGCAATAACAGCACTGCAGAGTGCACCTTTATTTTTCACCGCCATGTTCCCCACAATACATGTGCACTCCTGCTCCCCAGACCTTCTGGTGTTTTCACAATAAAAGCCTAAACAGAATACTGTACCTGTAAACATGTATATATAAATATGTACATGAACACATCTTAATATACGGAACTTATCAAATTCACTCTCTTTCTTTTAAGAGGAAAAATAATAATAATAATAATCTCCCCTTTAGATTAACTCATCATTTCTGCAATAGGACTCATAACATGACCTTTGAACAAGAGTCCTGTTTATGACTTTTTTTTTCTTTTAGTCCAGCTTCCATTGTCCATCATTCAATGCCTTAAGTAACTGGTAGGCTGGTGTTTCCTTTTTGGTAAGGCAGTCTGCAAGTCTTTTCTTAGTGACTGACTTTGTAGACTGAAGAGCATCCACAAGTGAATGATTGTCCATAATGTTCACACTGTAGTGACCAGAGCTTGTAAAGTCCAGTTTTACAGGCTGACTGAATATAGAGGGACTGTCACTTTCCATATCCAGCACTGCTCTTACTCTTTTCATGGATGCTTTGCTTAAGAGAAGTGGAATCTTTGCTGGGACAACCTCTGTTTCAATATGACACTTTGTTTGTCCAATCTTTGCAGGAATTTTTACCTTTTTAGTGGCGTAGACCATATTTCCATCTCCAAACTTAAAAGGTTTGTGACTGTGAGTTTGTCATCTTCAGTTTTTTTTTTATCTCCTTTTGGCTTAGTCTTGTGATGTAGCAATCTAGCCACTCTTGTCCACAAACAGTTTGTGTACATGCAGTGTCTATTATTGCTGAGCTAAAACGCTCTGTCATAAAGATTTCTGCATCAGTGGGTGACTCTTTTGTATACAGGGTAATATTGCACTCCTCTATATCCTCTGTTTTGCCATCTTCAGTTAACTTAACTTGCTAACTAACCCCTGTGTGGACAGTTTTTAGCCTAGTGGAATGTGCTTTGACAACCTGTACATTTTGATCTATGTACATCTAGAGGGTTTGTGCCAGGCAGTGGTGTTTTTTGTTGATCCTTTTGGAGCCAGAGCCTGCTTCTCTGTCGCCTTTGTTCTATCAGATATGCCGTTTCCTGATGAATCCCTACTGTAGTGGGAGGCTTGCCTCCAAAAATCCTCTTCACTGCTGACTTCATCAATGCAAAAATCAAATCTATGCAGGCTGTCAGTGCCAAGTGTCGGTCCTTCACATCCAAGCATGCAGTATCCAACAGTTTGAATGCTAACACTGCATCGGGAAGTTCCATCTTATATTTGCGCATTCGCGAGTAACATTGTTCAAACTCAATTATGTAGTCCACCATAGAAACACTACTGTCTCTCGTAATCCAGTCAAAACTTGAATAAGCTTCATAAATACAATCCTTTTCTTCTCTGAGAAACATTCCATCAAGTTTCCTTAGCAAGGCATCCATGCCAGTGTCTACATTCAAATCATCTACCGGTATTTCCATCACTGCCTCTCTTGCTCTTTCCAAAGCCACTGCAAGAGCCTGCTTACTTTTCCGTACAGTTTTCCTTACAGTTCCGTAATTCGAGCCCAGACTGCGACGTCATTTTTCCAGCTCTCTTAAGGTTTTCTTTTCATCAAAGGTTGGCAGTGTTCTGTAGTTGCTAACCATTGACCTCTGGCTTATGGGCCCAGCCAATGTTAAACAGTACTATACACTTTCTTTGCTCAACGTCCAACTTTATTTTTCACCACCATGTTCTCCACAACACATGCGCACTCCCGCTCCCCAGACCTTCTGGTGTTGTCACAATAAAGCCTTAACAGAATAAGGTACCTGTAAACATTTATATATAAACATATACATGAACACATCTTAATGTATGGAACTTATCAATATATGGTAATATACAACAGACTTTATGGATTTAAATTATAAATAATGGATGAAGTGCATTGAGCTTATAAAACACAAGTGCAATGGGATGAAATGGAATGAAATAGTGCAGAATAAGAAGCTAAGTTACATGAGTTAACAGTTCAATGGATGTAAACAGTGCAAAGATAAATATACAGTATCTGCATGTGTACAGTACAGTGTGCAAATGAATAGCAGCAGTATTCTGTGAGTAGAGTGTGTGCAAATTAACAGATGGCTTCAGTATTACAGGTAACAGAAGTGTATTGCAAGGCAGTTCTTTTGTGGCTGTTAAGCATAAGATCGCATTCCTTCATACAACTACACACTGTCAAACTACCTGCCAGTAAGATTTATTTCATTTCATTTCTTCTCATTACTTACACTGTCATCTCTTGGATGAAAAGAATTGAGGTTTATTATTAGTTGTTAGTCATGCACAGTCAGATTAGATAAAAAAAAAGGTGATTCTGGAGTTTATGGGTTTTTTTCCCCAAGAGTGAAAATCATAATTGTGATTTCTTTTTGTAGTATTTCCCAGGATCAGATGAACATCTGCAATATCCATACCAGTATTCAGATGAGGGGCAGAGCAACTCTGCAACTAGTACAGGTACAAGAGTCCTCAGACTTTTGGGATGCACCAGTACAGTTTGGGTGTCATTATGAGTATCGTGTATATTGACACAGGCCCACGTAGACAGCACCTACACCACAGAAATTTTGTCCTGTCTCGAATAGGAATTTCAGTGATTTCTCATCTATCTTGATATCTATTATTTTACATCATTTATAACTTGTGCACCAGTCCATATAATCTGCTGAAGGAACTTATATATTTTTTTCTTTTTTGCTGTGCTGTGGGTGACATATTTTAATGGTCTTACTGTGCAAGAGACAGACAGTAATGGAGATCAAAGTGGACAAATGTCTGCTGTTTATAGAAATTATAGGATGGGCACTTTGTCTAAAGATTTGAGAAACTAGATTTTTTTTTTTAAAGTGTTGCCAAACAAGTAGAAAATGTGAGAAAAATAACATGGAAATGTAGAAGTCAAACAACACAGTTGGGAAAGTATGAAATCTATAAAAGTGTTTCCTGTCATGTGTATTGGGAATGACAGGTTCATATGTAGACTACACTGGCACCAGCACAAGCAACAAAAGTGATGCAAACATGGAGCACAGTGATTCTCAAGGTAGCAACGACACTATCAAGATTACGCCCCAGTTTGCACCTTATTTCAAACCAAAGGTATGGCCATCAGTCATATTTATTTTTTTTATCAAAGCCATTGAAATTGTCTGTAAAAGAGATACTAATCAAGTCATGGGAGAAAAAGGTTTTCTTCTGGTCATTCAGGGAGACCCACTGAGGACTCTGCCTCTGTCCAGAGGGGGCAGCATTGAGAGTCTGCCTGCACGGACACAGTGCCTGGCGTCATCTGACAGCAAAAGAATGAGTGCTGATCTGTCAGAGCTGGAGCCCAAGATGCCATTTGCACCTGCAGGTAACACGCGTGACATTATATTATATGGCACAAAGCAAAACATGAAAGACGGGAAGAGGAGCTTTTTAAAATTTATAATCTGTATATATAATAAGAAATGTTGCAGGAAGGGCTGGAATGGAGCCTTTCCGAGTCCACAAGAAGTTCTCAAGAGTCAACCAATACCTTAGTCAGGGTCTTTCGTGTGCTTTCATCATCTTGAGGTGAAGATTGATTTCTCATATGGGAGAAATCATTTCTCCATCCATCCATTTTCCTCTGCTTATCCGGGACCGGGTCGTGGGGGCAGGAGTCTAAGCAAAGATGCCCAGACTTCCCTCTCTCCAGACACTTCCTCCAGCTCCTCCGGGGAAATGCCGAGGCG